CCATCCAGTGTTCAGAAAAAAAGTCAACCTGATGATATTGTTAGAAAAGTAAGAATTTATTTTTCAGTTTCTCAATGTAATAATTCTATAATTTTTTATTTTTATTATAGTTAATGTTGGATAGTTGGAATCAAAGTATATTTGGAGAAATAAAACAAAAACTTCAAGATTCAGCTATGCGACTTGTTCGTGCAGAAAGAAATGGTGAAGCATTTGATTCACAATTAGTTATTGGCGTTAGAGAGTCTTATGGTAATAAATTTTTTTTTTATCATGTTATTATCAAGTTTCAATATACATGTTATAATTTCAAAATTGTATTTAATTACATTGCAGTAAATTTATGTTCAAATGCAACAGATAAGCTTCAAATTTATAGAGAAAATTTTGAAGCAGCATATATAGAAGCAACAGAAGCTTTTTATTGGGTTAAAGCTCCTGAACAATTATCATTACATGGTGTAGAGAATTATATGCGTTATGCAGATGCAAAATTACAAGAAGAAGAACTTCGTGCCCAAAAATATTTAGAACCAAACAGTGCTAGTGTACAACTTTTAACTGATTGTTGTGTACGTGTCTTAGTAGCAACTTTTAAGCCAGCTATATTAGCAGAATGTCCAAGAATGATTCAACATCGTCAAACAGATAGTAAGTATAATAATTATAATATTTTGATTTCTAAAATAATAATATAACATAAATTTTAACTATAGAACTTAGATTAATGCTAAAACTAATGGATAGAGTTCCTGAAGGAGTTGGTCCAATGTTAAGAAATTTAGAGGAACATATAGCAAGTGCAGGTTTAGCTGATATGATGGCAGCTGTGGATGTTATTACTCAAGATTCTGAAAAATACGTTGAAAGATTATTGGATCTTTTTCGTCGGTTTTCAATTCTTGTTAAAGAAGCATTTGATGATGATCCTCGATTTCTAACTGCTCGAGATAAAGCTTATAAACTTGTTGTAAATGATGCAACAGTGTTCAGGTTAGAATTACCTGCACGTCAATGTTCTGGTATTGGTACAACTATTTTAAATAACAAACCTAACAACAATAATAATGGACAGCCAGAATCAAAATGTCCAGAACTTCTAGCTAACTATTGTGATATGTTACTTAGAAAAACACCACTCAGTAAAAAATTAACTTCTGATGAAATTGAAAGCAAGTTAAAAGATGTGGTATGTATTATGATATATATTGTTATACTTATTCAATATTATTTTATCTCATATTTATTTTATGTTGCTTTCTTTTTAGTTATTAGTGTTAAAATATGTTCAGAATAAAGATGTGTTTATGCGCTATCATAAAGCTCATTTAACAAGGCGCTTAATATTAGATACATCTGCTGATTCTGAAAAAGAAGAAAATATGGTAGAATGGCTCCGTGAAGTTGGAATGCCTGCTGATTATGTTAACAAATTAGCTCGAATGTTTCAAGATATTAAAGTGTCACAAGATCTTAATCAACAATTTAAAGAGCAATGTAGAGCTGCTATTGCAGATAGTATTAATATTAAGGTATCTGTTAAAATTTTATAATATTTTATTATATATTCGTATATTATTCATATACTGTTAAATATATATTGAAATGTGTATTAATGTTATCTATCATAGATACTAAATGCAGGTGCATGGGCTAGAGGTAGTGAACGCGTCACTGTAAGTTTACCATTGCAGTTAGAAGATTATATTCCTGAAGTAGAAGAATTTTATAAAAAAAAGCACAGTGGAAGAAAATTACAGTGGTATCATCATATGTCAAATGGCACGGTAAGAAAGAAAAATCTTGTCAAAAAGTATTAAAAAGGGTTTTATGTTAAAAATTATTATGAATTAATTAAAATTCTTTATCCACATTAAGAAAATATATATATGTTTAAAACAGAACATCATAAGTTTTTCTGATGCAGTAAACGTGGGTATAGAGTAGAACTTTTCAAAAACTTCAATATCTCGGTTCTAATTTTCAGCTTCACCTTGCAACCAATTTGGATGGTGTTCCAGATAACATTTTCTAACCAAGTGGGACGCTTCGATGTGGATGTAACAACATTTCAAATGGCAGTTTTGTTTGCTTGGAATCAACGACCGTTTGAAAAAATATCATATGAAAATTTACGATTGGCTACGGAACTTCCAGATCCTGAATTAAGACGAACTTTATGGTCGTTGTGTGCTTTCCCGAAACTCAAACGTCAGCTTCTTTTAGTTGAGCCACATGCACATAGTCCCAAAGATTTTGCAAATGATACAAGATTTTGGGTTAATCAAGAATTTGCTATTGTGTTAGTAATATTTTTTTTTTATACAAATTATTTAAATTATATAAATTAATTTAATTTGATTTCCTCTAGAATATAATTAATATTTTTCTTTAATTCTTAGAAAAAATGGTAAACTGCAAAAACGAGGTAAAATTAATTTAATAGGTAGACTTCAATTATCAACTGAACGGAGTAAAGAAGAAGATAATCAATCTATTGTACAACTTAGAATACTAAGAGTTCAGGTAATAAACTTTATATTGTAAGAATTATATAAAAAAATTATAATATAAACATATTTTTTAACAGGAAGCAATTATCAAGATTTTAAAAATGCGTAAAAAAATTAGTAATGCTCAGTTACAAACTGAATTAGTTGATATACTAAAAAATATGTTTTTACCAAGTAAAAAGATGATAAAAGAACAAATTGAATGGCTTATTGAGCATAAATATATACGTAGACACGATGATGACATTAATACCTTTGTATACATGGCATAGATTGGGATTATATATATAATATTGTTCAGATTCTCATGATTAATATTATATTTTTATAAACATTCAGTTCTTGTTTACCAAGTATGCTCAAAAATCCTAATATAATGGAAAGATATTAATGTTGTTTGTAATATATTCACAAAAAACATTTTTTGAAACAAATAGTACTGTCATACAGAGTCATATCGTTCATAAATTATGATTAAATAATATTATATTGTCTTCGACCATAGGAATGTGCATTGTTAAATAGGTAATATCTATTATAATATTTCAAAAATTTAAGATATAAAGTTTTTTTTTAAAAAAAAAGTTAATTTGAACGTATCCGTGGAAAATATTTAAGTTTCAAAATTTATTCATTATACTACATTTCCATTATTTTTTGTTTTTTGTTTTCAGTGCTTCATTCAATGCTTCATTTCATTAATAACTTTATCTTTGATTTTATTTTTATCTTTTATTTTATATTTAATATAATCTGACAATTTTATTCTACTTTAGAATAAAATAGATTGTTTATGAAATAATTATAAATCCTATAAATTTGTCACAAATTAAGCTTATTTTGCGAGAAAATAAAAATGTTATATGTATAGATGGTATGTACACATATGTATATTATACATTTTAATACATATTTAAGCATAATTGCATGAATATGTTTATTTATTGTGTAATTGTTTAAGTGTACATATTTTCTAAACATAATTATTTTCATTAATTTGTTTAAAGGCAGATAAAAAGCACTGAATTATAGAATTTTTTTCATATAATACTTCTATATTTTATTTTTATTAAATATATAGCAATTTTTTTAAATCAAATACAATTTTCAAATAACAGAAGTTAAAATAAATTAATTCATATGAAGAAAAAATATAAAAAATGGCCTATATCGTTATATATAAATGTAAGGATATAAAATTTTAATTTTTTTATATTTTAATAATAAAATCTTATATCATGTCTGTACCTAAAAAATTTTACAATTATATTATATTGTGAATGATAAAATCTTAACTTAATATTACTGATAACATTGATGTGTATAAAGCTTTTATATTATTTCAATATGCGATCAACAACTGTAAAAGTGAACAATTTGGAAATTAAAAAATAAGATTTTTTTATATTTTTCGATGTATTTTTGATTTTATTACATTTTTCCCAAAAATATTATTTTTATAAATAAATCATTTTCTAAAATTATCTAAAATAAAATAATTATTAAAATAATCTGAAATAAATTATATAATAAATTATAAATAAATTATAAATAAATTATATATTAATTATATTACTTAATTATAAAAGATATATTTTTATATGTTATCTGATGAAAGACTTCAACACAAAAATTGAGTTTTAAATAACATATTTATTCACACGAAAGTAATTTGCTGTAACATATAAATTATCAACAAATTTATATTAGATTAAATCTTACATTAATATGAAATATATTTTATATAAGAGAGAACACTATATACATTACACACACGCGTACACATACACTCACATACACACACACACACATATATATATATGCATATAAATAACCATAATTACAAAATAAACGCATATATATATTTTGAATAATATATAGATTTATTATTTGCAAACAATTTTTTTCAAAATAACAACTATATTTATAAGTTTAACTTTATTAATTATATATATTCTAAAAGTTTAAAGTAATTAAAATAATTTTTTTGTTAAAATAATGAAAAAAATCATTTTCTAATTTTCATATGTTATGGTTAATTAAAATATGACATGAAATAATATCACTAATACTATTTCTCATGTGTTTGCACTTTTATAACAATATATATATGTACATTAAATATACATCAATGTTCATAACTTCCTTTAAACTTATCACACACATTCACTTTGTAACAAATGATATTTTTTAAGTTAATCTTGTTTGAAATTCTGAGATAATTATATCAAGATTTTAATTCTATTTGCCTTTTTTCTATGATCATAAATTTTATATATCTTTTTTAAAAGTATTTATAACATTGATACTTTGAGTAAAATTTTAATAACGATAATTCGATACTTTTTATTTTTGATATTTTAATATTAATTTTATTAATTTTTATAATTGTAAGCAGCTAACAATATTTTAAAATATGTTTTTAAATTAAAAGAGGATAAGAATATAAAGTTATTTCGAAACATGTAGATTTTTATGTAATTTTTTATTTGTACGTTATTAAATATTCGATGATTTTTAAATTATGTCATTATATCACGTATTTTTTATTTGTCTGTAATATCTGCATAAAATATTATTTATCTGAAAACAAAAACAACTTTTGTGATAAAATATTTATTATATATTTTTATTTTATCTCAAATACTCACATATATTTGTCTGAGCAAAACACATTTACAGATTATTTCCTGTGAGTTTATAATCATAAATTAAAGTATCAATTTTGCAATATTGCAATACAAAATTGTTGAATATCATTTATTTGTAATGCCTCTAATTGCTTCTTGGATGGATAAATAATTCATTTTATTTGCAAAGATGGACAATTTCTAATCGAGTTGTTTATGAATGTTCTGGACAACGCGTATGTTGAATACGTGGAACATTTTTTATAGGATTTGTTGTTTCACAAACATGTACAACTATGCCAGGTTGTCCTGAACCTCCAGGATGTAATTCATGACTACCTCCTATAAAAATTAAAATTATTTATGTAGTTGATATATATATATATATATATAGAGAAGAATATATATTAAATTATTTAAATAATAAAACCTGCAGATAAATTTGCTATAGCTGCTAATAAGTCATGATTGACTAAAGGTTCATTTTCTTCTCTGGGCTCCCATCCAATAGGTGGTGAAGCAGGTGGTGAAATTAGGAACTGTTTAGTAAGTGCTGGTGGTTGAAGATGTTGATCTTCTACATCTATAAAATATATTATTTTTATAATCTATAAAATTGTTTTTATAATATATAAATCATTAATATACAAACCTATTGGGGTAACAGGTTGTGCAAAATAACAATTGATATTAGTTTCACCAAAATGAGTTTGATGTAATTGTATCCTAGCATTTGCTGCTGCATTTGGAGAACTATAATTCACTCTCATTCTTCTAAAAGATCTAAAATATTGAAATGTAGCATCTTTCCCAAACTGCTTGAAAAGATCCTGTATTTCATGCTATAGATATAAAACAAATATTTATCAAAATGTATGTTTATTACATTAAATTTTATTATAAATTTTTATTACCTTTAATTCATCACTTTTAAAAACTCTGGGGTCTACATTAGTTACAATGACTGATGTTGGTAAATCTTCATCACGTACTAAATCTTCAATAGATCTTGTATCAGAACGACTTTTCTCTATGTCAAATTCTAATTCTAATTGTTGATAATTAGGATGTAAATTTGGTAACCCATCAACTTCATTTATTATTATATTTTCTGATTCTTCTAATTCTTCATCTTCCACTATATCAGAACCATGTTTTTTCTCCATATTTATTTGATGCTATATACAAAAAATATTACACATTAATATGTATATTAATATATGAATTAGATATATAAATTAATATTTTTAATATAAAAATTAACTTGAGAATATCAATTGTGAAAAAATATGAATAATTTAAATAATTTATTTTTTTTTTATGAATATTTTAGTTGAGAATTTTATTATGAATATGATTTTATACATCAAATTATAATATAAATTAAATGTATATCATTTTTTTTATAATTATTTTCATATTGATTAATTATTCTTAACTTACTAATAAAATTTATTAATAAAATTAATAAAATAGTTGTTATCTATTTATAATATTAATAAAACTCATAGTATGATATATTTTTTCAAATATTAAACTTCTTTTATTCAATCATTCGTGAACTAAAAACAATGAGAATGTATATTCTATTTCGAAAATTATATATTTTTTATGAATTATGAATTTATTTGCAATTTATATTACTATTAACAACAGATTATTACATCAACATAATGTCTAAAAGACAAAGTAATTAATCAGTTGACAGAATAGGTAATACTTACTTGTTTTCTTTGATTAAATCGAATGTATGTCTCCTTAATATTTATCTCTTTATTAGAGTGAGAATAAATTGTTTACTTATTAGTTTATTTATTTTTTTTATTTCATTTAGATATAAAAATCTTTCATTGTATTAATGTTGTTATTAATCATTTATACAACTTTCGATATGTTACATATTGTATTCATTATTTTATTATTATCGTAATATAATCTTTTATAATCGTAGACTAAGAACTAGACTAGAAAGATAAGCAAATTAATATAGATAAACTTTTTTCAATAAAATCACTTATTATTGTTGTATTATTTATTACGCGTAATAAATAAAAACGAATAAAAATCTATATTATTTAAAATATTTGTTTTTTGAAATTAAGAAATTTAAAAACAGTATTTGTTTTCACTAGAATAAGAATATTTGAAAATTTGTCTTATATCAATCTTCTTATCGAGTTACCTTTCTATATACTTATATAAAATATATAAGTATTTATGCATGCATATATGCATTATATATATATATATATATGTATTTGTACTTATGTATATCATATAGTCGTAAATAACAGTGAGCAACAAATAACAATGTCGACGATGGAAGGTTCACTTAGCAAATGGACAAATGTTGTAAATGGATGGCAATACCGCTGGTTTGTTTTAGACGATAATGCTGGTCTTTTATCATATTATACAGTAAGAATTTTTGAATATTATAATTTTTGTTCTTGAATATTCACTTTTGTTAATTAATAGGTTACATTCTATTTTCTTTTAAAATATTTATGTGATATTTAATTTAAAATTATAATTTAATATCAATTATTATATTTATCAAATTTTTTTAGATCTATTTACCAATTATTTTTAAAAGATTATTTGTAGTTTTTTAAATATCTTATTTGCCATTGTCAACTGATTTCTAAATATCTTATTCTCATTATACTTAATAAAATATTCAATTCAATCAAATCAATATTAAATGATAAAAATAAATCAAATTTAAAAAAATTATTATTAATATTTTTGTATTATACTCATTATAATTTAATTATCAATAATTCATATTTTATAAAAAAATCTATTTTATTAATATTAATATTTTCATTATATTGTTTTAAAAAATATAAATATTTTTAATTATAAATATTAATAATGCTTGCTCTAAAATTTCTATTAATATTATATTTTAAATGTGCTAATTTCTTTATTATTTTTTAATTATATTTTAGAGTAAGGAAAAAATGATGAGAGGAGCCCGTAGAGGATGTGTACGTTTAAGAGGTGCTATTATAGGTATTGATGATGAAGATGATAGCACATTTACAATTACAACATCATCATATAAAGATGATCCAAAAACATTTCATTTTCAAACAAGAAATGCAGAAGAACGTGAACGTTGGATTCGTGCATTAGAAGATACTATATTACGTCATTCACATGCTGTATGATTATTTAAATGTTATGAACAATAAGAATAAATATATTTTAATACTTAAACAAAATTTATATTATTTCAGAGATGGGATCCTAAAAAATCACCACCAAAACAAGATTTTGATCGCAAAGTAGCTGAAGCAGATGCTTATCTTCAATTGTTAATTGATCAAATAAAATTAATTGAAATAAAACAAAGATCTGTTGCTGTAGAAGATGAAGAAAAGCAACAAAAATATGTAGCAATTTTAACTCAAGCCAATGCAATGCTTAATTCTGTTAAACATACAATTGTTCAGTTACAAATTGCAAAGGTAAATATTTATAATGTGGAACATATTTATTTTATTTAAAATTTATATATCTAATATAATTAGTTATAATAAGTACAATATTTTTAGAATACAGCTATACCTGTAAATGGAATATATAGAGGACCCACTGATTCAATACATGTTTCATCTTCTTTATCTCATGGTATGTACTTAAATATATTTATAAAATATGTTAGTAATTGAAAATATATAATACAATAAATTATAGTTGCTGTCAGAGAACCAGAAGCAACTGTACAGACTGGCATTGAATTAGGTTCTGAATGTGTAGAACTAAGATTATCTACATTGCCAAATGGTAATTTGTTTTCCTTTATTTATATTAAATTAAGAAAAAATATTAAATTAAATATTAAATTACAATATTTCATAAAGAATAAATTGAATAAATAAATTAAAATTAAGATGTATATTTTTTATTGATTTTTATTTGTAAAGCTGTTGTGGATAGAGATCTTCCTGTACCTCAATTCTCTTATTCATCTTCGGATGAAGACGAAGATTATTATGATGCAGCAGATGAAATATCACCTCCTTCTGCAATACAAAATCATATCAGTATGTAAGTATTTATTTTTAATAGAATTCTTAAATTTTTAACCCATTAACGCCCATTTTAAATTTACAATTATTATAATAATATTTGTTATAAAATTTTATTAAAATAGTCTTAAAAAAAGACATATACTTAAAAATAACTCTATTATATGCGTTTTTAAAAACTTTTTAAAAAAAAAGATATATTTTCTCGAGTACAATGTTTTTTCTACAAACATAATTTGATTTCATTAAATAGATTGTGTAATTACATTTGAAAGCATTCTTTAAATAATTAGTATCAATCACTCATTAATCTGTAACATTACATTATTTATAATAAAATAAATGGATGTTCAAATATTGATGTATTTATCAATAATGATTTCAACAAAATTGATTTAAAATTTTATTTATTTAAAATTATACATATATACATAATTATACATAAGTTTATATATATATATATATACATATATAAGTTAAACTTTTGAATGTTTACATTGTCAAAATAACAAGTGAAAAAACAATTCAAAATGCAACATCTTGAAATTTCCTCGGCAGATGACAGCACCAGTTAAAATATCGGATATAGTTCTTTGAGTACAGCGGGCGTTAATGGGTTAATATAAAATTAAAGAAATGCATTTTGCAATAATTAAACGATTCAGTAGAAGACGAGATAGTGAACGTTCGCAATCACACGTGGATGTATTAAATGAAAATCGGAAACAACCTCCATTACCCCCTACGAAAGGTGATGGATCAGTTGATTATGATGGTAAGAATTAATTTATATGAAATGATATTTTACTTTATATAATAATTACATTTAATATATTAAAAATATATATTAAATTAAAATTTTAATATACAAAAATATGATATATTTATTGAATAATTTAAATAATAAGCTAATTATCATAATCTTATTATGATAAAATATTATCATAATTATGACAAAATATATTATTCTTGAGTTTATAATACAAATAATACAAATAGTATAATTATTTAGTTATAATTATAATACAAATAGTAATCCATTAATGCTTATTTTACAAATCTAAAATTATTATGATTTAAATTTGGAATTAATGCAAATTTTCATTGAAAAGATACACAAATTTAAAAATAATTATTATGTGTTTATTTTTTATTATTAAAAAAAGTTTTAAGTTTAATAATATAGATGTGATATAGATGTGATATAGATAAACTTTAGAATGAGAACTCTTCTTTGAGAAGAGTTTTTTCAAAGTAATAATTTTTTTCATTAAAAAGTAGATTAAGCGATTGTAATTAAAAATATTCTTTAAACAATAATTATCAATCGCTTATAGTTCGTAATATTGCATTATTCATAATAAAATAAATAAATGTATGATATCTTTTATCAGCAATGATTTTGACAAAATTGATATTTTAAATTATATTTAAACTATATACATATATCAATAATTAATTTTTGAATATTATGCATTGTCAAAGTAACAAAAATAATTCAAAACACAAAACATTTGAACAAAACATAATTTCAACATATGATAATAGCAATTAAAATATTTTCTTTGAATACACTTACACATGGATTGATATTATAGTTAATTATTAGTAATTAAAATTAAAAATAAATAAAAATTATTTTTTCATTATTTGTTTAACTTTAATTAACATTATTACTTAAAAATTATTATTATTATAATTAAAATTATTATAAAATTTTGTTACAGCTCTTTATGAAGAAGAAAGTGAAACAGAAAGTAAGAAATCATTTATTATTAATAAAATTATAAATTATCTACATAAGATGTAATTCTTATCTTTATATTGGTTTTTAGTGGATTCTATGGAATCCCATGGATCTGTTGTAACTCATCTTTTATCTCAAGTAAAAATTGGTATGGATTTAACAAAAGTAGCATTACCTACATTTATCTTAGAGCGCAGATCACTTCTTGAAATGTATGCAGACTATTTTACTCATCCAGATCAGTTTGTAAGGTATATTTTATAAAATAAATATTTAGTAAAAATTTTTTACAAATTTATTGAAACTTTTAATATATTACAATATTTTACAATATTTTACAATATTTTATGTTTTAGCATAGCAGATATGCCTACTCCTAAAGATAGGATGGTTCAAGTAGTTCGTTGGTACTTATGCAGTTTCCATGCAGGTCGTAAGTCAGGAGTGGCTAAAAAACCATATAATCCAATATTAGGTGAAATTTTTAGATGTTATTGGGATATTTCTAATGATACTATGGATAGTTCTAATGATACAAAACTAGTTGTTGGAGGTCCTGTACCTTGGTGCAAAGAAAATCAGCTTTCATTTATTGCTGAACAAGTATCTCATCATCCTCCTAGTAAGTTTTGTTTGTTTATTAGAATCTTAATAAATTTTTTTTTATAAGAAATTAATATAACTTTTATTATAGTAAGTGCATTTTATGCTGAGCATTATGCAAAAAAGATTAGTTTTGGAGCACATGTATGGACAAAAAGTAAATTTCTTGGATTAAGTATAGGAGTACATAATGTTGGAAAGGGTTGGGTAAATGTTTTACAACATGGAGAAGAATATGTATTAACTTTTCCAAATGGTTATGGTAGATCTATCCTTACTGTACCATGGATAGAATTAGGAGGAACTGCGACTATTCATTGTACACAAACTGGTTTTCATGCTACTGTAGAATTTTTGACAAAACCTTTTTATGGTGGTAAACGTAATCGTATTTCATGTCAAATTACACAACCAGGAGATAAAAAGCCATTTGTTGTTATAAATGGAGAATGGAGTGGTTCAATGGAAGCAAAATGGGCTGATGGAGTAAATATAAAAGATAGTTATAAAAAATATCGATCTTTTATTTTATCTCATTTTGTTTTATAAATTCAATT